TGCATTGTGGTACCTTGATAACACTAAGTATTTTGATATGTTAATTAACCTCTTAATCGGTTTCAAATCCATTGAGAAATAGAAATCAGAGTCAGCTATGGATTAAAATATCAGCATTTCATTTTATTTTTTTTGGTAGAAAAAGCTGGATTGGTCCTGCAGCCAGAATCAGGATAATTATTTTCCTACCCTCAACCCAAGTCTAGACATTGAAATTTGAATGAGACGCAAGTCAGATCTACACAGCAAACCATAAGTGAACCGATTACCAGTCAATGAGATTAGGTTCAGCTGAAGAGAACTACAAACTCTAACAATACATTGACTTACATTATAAAGAAGCAGGCACTTCAAGCCGGTATGTAACTCCACAGTGTCATCAGAGGCCCATGCTTCTAAATATTTCCACTGTGTTATGCTTAGCACCTGACTTTCATCCTTGGGGTCACCTCATAGTCCAAGACAGTTACTGGGGCTCCAGCAATTTCATTTGCATTCCAGACAGCAGTAGCAAAGGTGTAAGGAGCCTTCTCAGAAGTCCCCTTAGCTATATCATGGACCAGAACATTTCACTAAGCTGCACTTAGCTTTGAGAGAAGCTAAGAAGTATAGTTTTAGTCTGAGCAATAATTTGCTCACCCCAAAACGGGTACTCTGGTACTAAGGATAAAGAAGAGAATGAATGTTCTGTTGAGCAACTGGTAGTCTGCCACGGTTATCTAACTGCCCAGTCATGCCTTTTCTTGCCTCTGTCAAGCTCAGAGAGCCCCAAGATTGTGACCCAGGCTTGCTTACCACACAGCGCAGCAGCAGTGGGAGAGAAAGGGTCCAGAGAAAGCCAGGAATGGGCTGAGTGACATGCCCAGTGTTCTTTTCCAAAACTCAACAGTTGGGTAAATCACATTCCTTCTATGGGGAGGAATAAGTACACATGGTAAGAGGGCCCAGAATATTCCTGGAATACTTTTCCCTTCTTAGGAGTAGAACAGAGATCCACTGATAGAATCGAGGCCCTGTTTACCCTGACTGCACCTTTACCCGGCTCTCTTCTACTTGGCCAACACTGTCTGTTGTTGTTGTTGTTGTTGTTGTTGTTGTTATTGTTGTTTTTGAGACAGAGTCTCACTCTGTTGCCCAGGCTGGAGTGCAACGGTGTGCCCTCGGCTTGCTGCAACCTCCGCCTCTTCGGTTCAAGAGATTCTCTTGCCTCAGCCTCCAGAGTAGCTGGGACAACAGGCATGCATCACAACACCCAGCTAATTTTTGTATTTTTAGTAGAGACGGGTTTTCGCCATGTTGGCCAGGCTGGTCTCGAACTCCTGGCCTCAGGTGGACCACTTGCCTCAGGTTCCCAAAATGCTGGGATTACAGGCATGAGCCACCGTGCCCACCATGCACTGTCTTACTCAACAGTTCCAACTAGTAAATGCTGACCTGCTATCTAACTCTAAGCTTATATGTCATTTTTCCTTTGGCACCCTTCATGATCCACCTTCCAATCCCCAAACTGGTCTCTGTCCTTCCATATTAGTGTATTAAGACTAAAAGTATGACACTTTCACATGCTACTAGAACTCACTTTCTATGCTTCTTTCTTCTCCTTCTCCTATACATATACCAAACAATGCAGTTTTTGAGGACAGGAATCAGTTTTATTTCCCTTTGCATTTTAGTTCCTGATATATAGTATCTGATACTTAAGAGACACCCGAATGTTTACTGCATTAATAATGCTGAGACTTATCTCTTTTCCTTGTCTCCCTACCTTAAAGATAAAGAAACCGAGATCTTGAGAGGTTGAAGGGCTTAGTATATAGAAACAATGGGCATCTGTGTTCATTAAAACCTCCTTGTGTTCTAGGCACTTTCATAAGGTGTGTTTTCATTCTTCTTCATTCTCTTACCAACCTAGTAAAGTACCTATTGTTATCCCCATTGTACCCTGAGGTTAGTTGGCCAGGCTGTGAAGTGAGGAAGTGGCTGAGCTAGGATTTCAACCTTGGTCTTTTCTGACTTTACTTTTATTAAGTTTTATTTATTTATGTATTTTTGAGACAGGGTCTTGCTATGTTGCTCAGACTGGTTGTGAACTCCTGGGCTCAAGGGATCCTCTTATCTCAGCCTCTCAAGTAGCTGGTATTACAGGTATGCATAACCATGCCCAGTTACTTTTCTATTTTTGAAATAGGGTCTCACTTTGTCACCCAGGCTAGAGTGCAGTGGTGCAAACTTGGCTCACTGCAGCCTCAACGACCAGACTTAAGCGATCTTCCTGCCTCAGCGCCCCAAGTAACTGGCATGTGCCACCATGCCTAGCTAATTTTGGAGGTTTGGGTTTTTGTTTGTTTGTTTTCTTTGTAGAGATGGCTGATTGCCCAGGCTGGTCTTGAACTCCTAAGCTCAAGCCATCTGCCTGTCTTGGCCTCCCAAAGTGCTAGATGTGAGCCACCGCACCTGGTCAACTTCTCTTACTTTAATCTCTGGGTCAGCATAGCACGGACTAGGGAAGAGCTGGGATCAGGTTTTCTGACTTTACATTTCACCCAAAGAGATTTGAATCTTATCCCCTTTTCTTTCTCTGCTTTGTTGTAATGCAATAATCATTTAATAGTGCTTATTAAGACAAGGCATCCTTATTAGAGATACATATGCCTTTCAAGATTAGCCGTTTCCTACTGATGGTGGTGCACATCTGCTCAAGCCCATTCTTGCACTCTTGCCTAAGTCTCCAAGAACTACTTATTATACAAACAACAGTTGGAAAGAAAATCAGTCTAATGTTGAAATTTCACCAGGGAACTCAGTGGTCATTCGGGTTAATGCTTGTCAGAAAAGGATACTCCAGGAAGACACCACCAATTAGCATTGGCTCTTTGAAAGGTTGAGGGTTGAAACCAATTAAAGAAAGTGAGGTACAGGCTTCCCCAAACTCTTCGTATTATAAAAGCTGAGACTTCAGGTATTTGGGGTTGGTTTGGTTGGTTCAGAAGGAGAAAATGGTTAGTCCATCAGAAGGGGCCAGGATGAAATTCACAGCTACTTAGTTCCCCTTCAAGAGAAGACACATCTGTATTTCCTTAAGTCAACGCTTTTGACAGAAAACTGCATTCATCACACAAGACTTCTTCCCAGATGGCTAACCATGCTTCTGCAGTTATCTAGGAAAAAGAGAGAGAGAATGAGATATTGAACTGTAAATATTTCCTCTGCTCCAAGGTCTTCTAATCCTTGGTGTCCTAAAATAGAAGGTTCTTAGAGTATTTCCATCATGTGGTGGTAGGTGGTAGGCATTGCCCTGGGTTCTTGAGATCAAATCCTTTTGATCAGAGAGTATTATCCTTCAGATACCCTGCTGTCCTTGGGCTTTAAACTAGTAGCAAAAACGGCACTAGAGGCTTCGACAACAGGTGGAGAGAAAGTGAACGGGGAAGAGGAAACAAGGATATCATGGAGATAGAATCATCTTACGCGATCAGACCATTTAACTGTACCTGAAAATGCGGGTCCAGGTCTGTTTGCTGTATTAAATGATTTAAGCACAGTAAGAAACACATATCATATTCCAAGCCAATGCATCCATGTAAATACACATGCACACACACGTCACAACCTGAGGTAGTGGATGAAGGAGTATGTGATGATTACAGCACAACCTATGGAGTCAGACCTACAATCAAGCCCCACTTAAACCCCCAAAATAATTTTGAAGACTATATACCCCATCACCTACTAAAAGTTGTCTAAATGTTTTTCTCACAAAATGTAAATACTTGCAAAGACTGTAATTTCCAGTTTGTTGTAAAAATGCTTTAAAAATATTTCTATCAAAATCTTGGAACTACAGCTTCAGCTCAAATTTGTGGAAAGTGTCCATTATGTAACCTAATAGCCAAAGCCATTCCTCACTGTCTCACCCATCAGGTTAATCAGATATAACTCCTTGGTGGAAAAAAGTCAGCATTTTGCAATTCAAATAAACAATAAATGCAGCAGGCTCCTTATCCCTGACATCCGTTGCCCTTCTGAATTCTCTGAGGCAGCATGAGGGATGGACGAGAGAGAGGGGTGAAAGCCTTGCCGTGAGTTTGTGCCTGGTTGAAATAAGGCCTTGTTCCCAACAGACCTCTTCACAGGAACAAGGCTTTCCCAAATTATCCCTTGATTTGGCAGCCGGGAGTCTATATCCCCGGGCCCAGGCACTTTCAAATACTTGAAATGCGGCCAGCACAGTGGCTCACACCTGTAATCACAGCACTCTGGGAGGCCGAGGTGGGTGGATCATCTGAGGTCAGGAGTTCGAGACCATCCTGGCCAACATGGTAAAACCCTGTCTCTACTAAAAATAAAAAAGATTAACTGGGTGTGGTTGTGCACTTCTGTAATCCTAGCTACTTGGGAGGCTGAGGCAGGAGAATTGTTTGAACCCGGGAGGAGGAGGTTGCAGTGAGGCAAGATCGCACCACTGTACTCCATCCTGGACGACAGAGCAAGACTCCATCTCAAAAAAAAAAAAAAAAAAAAAAAGATTTGAAATGGATGAGAAATATGTCTTTTGTTTGTAAAGTGGCAGGAGTACAGTTGTGAAAGAGGAAATGAGAAGGGAGAACTAACTGGCAGATCTCAGCTAAGCCAGTTTTGGGAAGAAGTGCATCTAGAACTTGAGGATCTGAAGACCGATTCTCCTAAAATTGTGACTTGAACTCCCAAGAAAGTTTGCAAGTAGCCTTGGGTACTTGAAACCACTGTTCTAAGCCGTCAGTGTCCTCATCTGTAAAATGCAAATAATGAGTATCTACCTCCAAAGATGGCTCTAAAGAAAAAAGATGGCTCAAAATGAAGTACTTGGTGAAGTCCTTGGTGCACAATAAGCACACACAATGTGTTCACTATTGTCATTGTCATTGCTGTTATTATTCAACTCCTCTACTGGTTAACAATGTAATTTCTCAATGTATTTAGTAATCCTTGGGCCCAATGCTAACACCTTGTTTATGTTTTAGGCACTAGTTTTCAGGCCTCAGGATACAATTTCAACACCTATGACTGGAGGAGTCCAAAACAGAGAGGCAGCTTGTCCCCAGTCACTAAGCCTCGAAGCCAGACTTACCCAGATGTGGGGCTGAGTAATGAAGACTGGGACCGGTCCACAGCCAGTGGGTAAGGTTTTCAACCAATGCTGCCTCATCCAAGATGACTGCATGGTCATGTGGGCAAGATTTGAACTTCTGTACTTCCAGTGGCACATATTGTTAGTATGGGCTTCTTAAAGCCACCATAATCATCCATGCTGGCCACATGGCAGGATTCTAAAAGCTGCCTGACCAGTGGCAGCCTGAGCACCACACAAAGGGCAAGAGCTGGGTTTCCCCTAACGAAAACAGTAGTAGCACCTGGAGAGAAGCTGCTTCTGTAAACTTTGCACTCCCTTCCTTATGACAAGTAGGTCCCTCTCCTTTATTTATTTATTTATTTTTTTTTTGAGAGAGTGTCTTACTTTGCTGCCCAGGCTGCAGTGCAATGGCAAGATCTCGGCTCACTGCAACCTCTACCTCCCAGTTCTAGTGATTCCCATGCCTCAGCCTCCTGAGTAACTGGGATTATAGGCGTGTGCCACCACATCTGCCTAATTTTTGTTTTTTAATTTTATCTTGTATTATTTTTATTTTTTATTTTTTTTTTTTTTGAGATGGAGTATCGCTCTATTGCCTAGGCTGGAGTGCAGTGGCACCATCTCGGCTCACTGCAACCTCCACCTCCTGGGTTCAAGTGATTCTCCTGTCTCAGCCTCCCAAGTAGCTGGGATTACTGGCATGCAGCACCACGCCTGGCTAATTTTTGTATTTTTACTAGAGACAGGGTTTCATCGTGTTGACCAGGCTGGTCTCGAACTCCTGACCCTCATGATCTGCCTGCCTCAGCCTCCCAAAGTGCTGGGATTACACGTGTGAGCCACTGTTCCTAGCCTATTTTTTATTTTTGAGACAAGGTCTCACTCTGTCACCCAGGCTGGAGTGCAGTGGCATGATCTCAGCTCACTGCAACTCTACCTCCCAGGGTCAAGCAATTCTCCTGCCTTAGGCCCCCAATTAGCTGGGACTACAGGCACCTGCCACCACGCCAGATAATTTTTGTGTTTTTAGTTATTTTTAGTAGAGACAGGGTTTCACCATGTTGGCCAGGCTGGTCTCCTGACCTCAAGTGATCTGGCCACCTAGGTCTCCCAAAGTGCTGGGATTACAGGCGTGAGCCACTGCACTGTGCCCCTCTCCTTTCTTTTAAAAGTTAGTTTCACATTAAGTTACATTTTTTTTTAAGATACCTCATGGATCCATCTTTTCAGCAAAGTATATTTTACCATTTTGTTCCTTACCAAAACATTTTAAGGAAATTTATAAAAAGTGATAGCATTTGGTTTACTTATAGTGATCGTTAAATAAGTGGGAAAAACACATGTTTCTCTCTTAGAGAAAATTTTGATTTCTCTTTCCTTGTAGATATAGCAGCTGAAGTACATTTCCAGCATTCCATCCCATTCCAATAGGGTCATCATGTGGCTGCAGCCCATTTAGCAGCAGCCACAAATAGTCTGAAATCTGGTAGTAAGACCGTGGACCATACTTTCCATCTTCACTACACTGCATTTCCTAAAGCGTTCCTCTGCTGAAGCTCATATACTTGGAAGGCACAGGTGAAAGAAAGCCTGATCCAAAATGTCTGTCTGTCTTTATTTTGTGTGAGATGAAGGAGAGATATTCTGGATACAAAAAAAAAAAAAAAAGCCGGGTGCGGTGGCTCATGCCTGTAATCCTAGCACTTTGGGAGGCTGAGACAGGCGGATCACGAGGTCAGGAGATCAAGACCATCCTGTCTAAAATGGTGAAACCCCATCTCTACTAAAAATACAAAAAAAAAAAAAAAGCTGGGCGTGGTGGCAGGCACCTGTAGTCCCAGCTACTCGGGAGGCTGAGGCAGGAGAATGGTGTGAACCCGGGAGGTGGAGCTTTCAGTGAGCCGAGATTGCGCCACTGCACTCCAGCCTGGGCTATAGAGCAAGACTCTGTCTCAAAAAAAAAAAAAAATGTCTGGCAAGTTCCTAACCCAGCCTGTGTTTCTTGACAACAGTTTTGCAGGGGCTGCCGATAGTGCAGAGACAGAACAAGAGGAGAACTTCTGGTCTCAAGCACTGGAGGATTTGGAAACCTGCGGACAGTCAGGAATTCTGAGAGAACTGGAGGTAGCCTCAGTCCTGCTACTTACTTTTATTGTTTCTACATTCATTTTTTTTGGTCCTTTTAAGTTTGCATTTCTCACACCAGTTCATTTAAAAGCTTTAACCCTTTCCACAGGAGAAAGCTGACAGGCGTGTGTCTTTGAGAAACATGACTCTCTTGGTAGCTACCCTTTATGTTTATATTTTTGCTTGTGAAGCTGCCTTCCCTACCCCCTTGCCTTCTGGACAGCAATTTGATTTTATACAATGCAGTCAAAAGTATTTATTTCCCCATCTCCACCCCTCAAGCTTACTGACTTGTGGCTTCTGCCATTGCTCCCTGCTAACCCTGACTGTATCTGTTTCCCACCAAATCGCTAAAAAGCGAGCTAAGTCTCCCAGCAGCGGTGCATCCCATTCTCTTAGTTGCTTTAGAAAGGTTTCTTTGGCATGTTTTCATTTGTACCTGGTATAGAAATTAATTTGATCGCTAAGAGGAACATAAGAGGAAATTTTATTTTACTTTGTTTTGTCCTTAAAGTAGATGACAATGTAGCTGGTGAAAAAGGCCAGTCTATTTGATAAGCAGCAAAAATATTACATAGTACGTTGCTGTTAATTGCAAATCCTGATTCCATCTGTATTAACTTAGTGTGAATTCAAGGAAGAATGAGATGGAATGTAATGGCTGAACTCCTGGTGAGTTCTTTAATCAAAGCCATGAATTCGCTGATGGTATTCACACTTTAGTCTGGGAAGTCCTGGACTGTTTCCTTTTATGTTCTTTTAAATTTTCTGAGCTGTAAAAAATAAAGTGGCAAAAGTCTCATTTTTATTTTGATGTCTTATGAGGTCCCCAAGTCACCATAAGGAATGTGAATGGCATAATGGGGTGAAACTCTTGCAATTCTAAAATGATTACTCATCTTTATATTATTTTGCTTCTCAATTGCATGTGTGGATATTTTATGTGATTCTAATGTCTGTGAATCTGCAAAGAGAATTATGAAGAAAAATATTAGTTTGAACTTGTAAACGTCATGGTATTACCTGGCATGAACTGCAGCTTCAGAGCACAGTTAAAGGTTCTGGACATGGATAATCCTGTAAAATCTAAATGAAGTAAGATGTTAGCAGTGATTCCTTTTTACACAACTTTCAGAAAGAACAGAATGCTTAAGTATTGACTGGCTTATTTAAACCTGTACCACCTTCTGCATGTAGAATGATGAAGAAAAGTAGCCCAAACTGAATAATGAGCACAATTCACAATTCTTGAACATAGCCCTGCTTTTGAAAGCATGTTTTGGCTCATGCTGCTTTTTCCTTGTGCATTTTGATACTTCCCTTTTGAAGAAAAAAGTTGTTTTTCTAACAGCTTGTTTTACATTAGGCAAAAATAAAATGATGTAAAAAGTAATACAATGAGGTTCTGTTTTCACCCAGAAATTGAGTTATCTGATGAAAACAACATCCATCAGCAAGAGTAGACTTTATGTTGCCACAGCCTATGACTTTGCTGTAACATAGCTCCAGACAGGTGTGGCCCTTGACATTATTAATGCAGAAAGCAAATGAGTTGAATTTATAAGCCAAAGGGAAATTAAATCCTCAACTAGGATGAATGATTGGCAAATTCATAAATTAGTTATATTTAGACTATTATCGCAAAGAATATTTATTTATTGGTTTAAATGAACCCCATTCCCTTGATTAGAAATGCTGTTATACAAAAAATATTAGAGCTAGATTCTTGCATATTAAATTTACATCCAGCATTAAAAGTTAAAGCACACTATAATACTAATAAATGTAGAAGGTTAGCTAAGATGAAAGATGATTACAATTGAAATGGAAATGAAAATTAGTTTACTAATCATTTTCCCTATAGCTAGCAATAATTTAGGTTCAACTTTAGCACTGAAAAGTGTATAGCTTTAACAAAGGAGAGAAATTTGAATGAGTCTTTGGACAAGTTTTTAACCTCTCTTATCAGATATTTCTTCTATAAAAGATGGAAATTATAATGAGCTAATAATTATGTGGCACTAAACAAGTATTCAACAAAGTATTCAGTAAAAATTAACTATTAGTATTTTTGCCCTTTCTTGATTAATGAACACTGCTTTAACTATTTTGTGTTTAGCATAATATAGGAAGAAGATTTAACTAAATGTCAGATAGAGAACTCTAGGTTGCCTTAGGGATAATATGCAATTATGAATTACGGCAAATGAAAACAGGTAATACATACTCTTGAGACCAAAGCAAATCCTAGGTAATTAAAAATAATTGTTTTTTTAGCTTTTTATTTTAGTTTTTATATTTGTTTTACCTTTTATGTTCCTTCTTAGATGCTACCTAACGTTCATTTTAAACAAAGTAATCAAATTTTGATTACTATACAGACTCACATACTTACTTGGAAATGCGAACCAAAGAATTAGTGATAGTATCTTATTTCTTCCATCAGAACCTTTTCTAAATCAATTTGTAATTTCTTCTATGGCAGCTAAGATTCATCAAAGCAAAACTGTGGTCTCCCAGATGTGGTGATTAAGTGTTTTACTTCCAACACATGTCCTGTCGTTCTCATGAAAAATGAATATTTAAAAACAGATGTTAACAAAGCAAACAACTAGTCTAAGTAGGTAAAAATAATAAATGGAGGGTCAGCATGGCAAGAAAATAACCACTGAGCACTGTCAGATACACTAGATTAAACACAGAAATGGGGCGGGCACGGTGCCTCAGGCCGGTAATCCCAGCACTTTGGGAGGTTGAGGCAGGCGGATCACCTGAGGTCAGGAGTTTGAGATCAGCCTGGCCAATGTGGAGAAACCTCATATCTACTAAAAATACAAAAATTAGCCAGGCTTGGTGACAGGTACATGTGATCCCAGCTACTTGGGAGGCTGAGGCAAGAGAATCGCTTGAACCCGGGAGGCAGAGGTTGCAGTGAGCTGGGATCGCACCACTGAACTTCAGCCTGGCGACAGAGTGAGACTCTGTTTAAAAATAAATAAATAAATAAATAAATAAATAATAAAATAAAAAAAAATATACATGAGTAAGTGCCATAAAATAAAGAATATCCCATGACACCAATGAAGCCAGCAAAGAAAGGTTTCAATCAACTTAAAAAGGGTATTTGTCTGAAATAAATTGTTATATAAACAGCCCACACTTGTTTTTAAATGCTAGGCATCTTTCTACTTACTAAAAAGGAAGTTTTATATGGTTCAACCTAACATTTCACCGAGAAGCACCGAACAGTCAAGAACGAGAGTTCTGGAGTCAGAATGCTAGAGCTCCATGCCCTGGCTCTTGGGCAAGTTGCTTAACTTGTCCATGCATCTCTTTCCTTTACTGAAATGAGGATGTATGGTAATTTTAATATCTATTGTGTAGGGTTACTTATGTATTACATGATATTCTACATACAATCTGTATGGGACTTAGCACATGTTAATGTTCAGTGATCAGCCAGTCTTTTTACAGTTATAATTTTCTTTTTCAAAATTATCAGTGTGATAACTGATCTAGCCAAGATATGAATGGTCTACTTGTTTCATATCTTTTTCAACAAAGTTGTTAGATATATGCACATGTGTGCCAACACTTGGCTGTTGTTCAAAGATCTTGTTAATAGTGTGTGTATAGCTGAACACCAGGTGAATTTGAGAATCATGAAATCTTAGATACGTGACAGATGAAAACTCTACTCACTTTGCAGTATTCCCTTATGATCAATAGTTTTATAAAGTGCCCTAGGCTCATTTACTACCAATGTGAGCTTGGGTGAGTCAGCCTCTTTGTGCCTCAGTTGCTTACCTATAAGTTGGGAGGAATGGCCAGGTGTGGTGACTCACACCCGTAATCCCAGCACTTTGGGAGGCTAAGTCGGGTAGGTCACTTGAGATCAGGAGTTCCAGACCAGTCGGCCAACATGGTGAAATCCATCTCTACTAAAAATACAAAAATTAGCCGAGCATGGTGGTCCTTGCCTGTAGTCCCAGCTACTTGGGAGGCTATGGCACAAGAATTGCTTGAACAAAGAAGGCAGAGGCTACAGTGAGCCAGGATCACACCACTGCACCCCAGCCTGGGTGACAGAGTGAGAGTCTGTCTCAAAAAAGAAAATAAATAAATAAATAAATTGAGAGAAGTAATAGTACCTACCCCATAGAGTTGTTGTGAGGCTTAAATGAGTGACTACATTCAAAAGACTCAACGAGTTAAGCTTCTGTTACTTTTAGCATCAGTATTAACATAAACAACTAAATCACGTGGCAAATGAAACTTGTTTTCTGTCCCCATGGTTTCAGGCAGATTTATCAATGCTAGTTTACCTTTATACCATTACACCCAGGAGTACAGAGCTGGCTACGGGCATGTTTTCAGAATTTTAGCATTCTCCAACCATGAGAAATGAATATCCACTACTTGATAATGGTTTCAAATCCTTTTTTCCACCCCCCCCTAGTTCTGAGCCTTGTTCATCTTTGGTATCTAATCTTGTCATTGCTTGTGAAGTATTCGGGGAAGAACATATTTGAAACCAAACAAAATTCCCAATTCACTGGTAACATCCAATTCAAGTCCTACTGCTTGTGAGCAAAAAGTTGAATATAAGAACATAATAAATGATAATAAATGAAAAGATTCTCTGAGGATCTTATACAAAGGATATTTCTAAGAAACATTTAATCTGTACCAAATAATATGGAGACTTAGCTGGTCTACAAACTTTGGGGACAGGCCACTTGGCCACAGGAAAGACCATATTCAGTGCTAGACAGAAGCCTGGGAAGAACCCCTTGCCTTTGTATCAGTCATCCCATTCCAACCCATTGTTAGCTGCCGTTGGAGATAGAGGCAGTATTGCAAGTACAGGCAGCCTGGTGTCCATGGAGAAGTTCTTGGTTCATTTCTGTAAGATATATTCAAGGTGGCCTCATGAATCCCATCTGTTAGAACCCACTCAGTGGAAAGTTAATGCTTAAAATGTAGTTTACAGTAAGCAAATGTTAGAGCATTTCAATTTGCCTCAAAACTGCCAGGGGTGGTATTTGATTAAATAAACTCAACAGCTTAAGTACTTAAATTGGATTTGAGACGTGCATTATAAATGTCACTTGCAAAGCATTTTCCAGACTTTCATAGTTCCATTAGTACATCCATTCTCCAGCCTTTGGTTTTGCCCTGAAGAGACTGTATTTTTACCTCCCAGAAGGATAAATGTGCTTACTGTTGGGCACCAAACCCTTTCCTTAGTCCATGGCTTAACTGTTTCTAAAAATTGTCAATGCCACAGGCAACAATCATGTCGGGGAGCACGATGAGTTTGAATCATGAGGCTCCAACACCTCGCAGTCAGCTGGGGCGACAGGCCAGCTTCCAGGAGCGCAGCAGCTCGCGGCCGCACTACAGCCAAACAACTCGGAGCAACACCCTGCCTTCAGATGTGGGTAGGAAGTCAGTAACCCTGAGAAAAATGAAACAAGAAATAAAGGAGATCATGTCTCCAACTCCTGTGGAGCTGCACAAGGTCAGTAAGCTTTCTCTTCTTTCCCTTAGGGTCAAATTTGGCAGCCATTCTGCATAGCATGTATGCCCGGATGTAAGCATGGCAATGGTATCCTCCTGTCGGCTCAGCCAAGCAAAGAAGCTTAAAGACAGATACTCAGAGACTTTGTTCTCAAAATACAATCCCTGGGAGGTTATCCTGAAAAGCAGGGAAAATTGGCTTTCAAAAAATGTATTTATCAAAAATGTATTTATGATGTCTGGGTGTGGTGGCACATACCTATAATCCCAGCACTTTGGGAGGCCGAGGCAGGCGGATCACTTGAGGTCAGGAGTTCAACACCAGCTTGGCCAACATGGTGAAACCCCGTATCTACTAAAAATACAAAAATTAGCCAGGCGTGATGGCAGGCACCTGTAATCCCAGCTACTTGGAAGGCTGAGGCAGGAGAATCACTTGAACCCGGGAGGCGGAGGTTGCAGGGAGCCAAGATTGTGCCACTGCACTGCAGCCTCGGTGACAGAGCAACACTCTGTTCCCCCCCCCGCCCAAAAAAAAATTATTTATGGCCAGAATCTTCTTACAAAAATTTGAGGCTCCAGTGTCACACGGAGCTTGCATAATTAGTCTATTGTTCCAGTCTCATTGGAAGGGGAGAGAATTTTCTAAATGTCATACACTCATAGCTTCACAGAAAAGGGGGTTCAGGTTCAATGTAAGGAGGTTTAATCTTTCATTACAGACTTACAGTAGATAGTTATATTGTTCAGGAGACATGGAGTTCTCTCCAAGATGTGTTAGATGGTCTTGGGCCAGGATAAGGCAAGCCCTAGTTATGTTCTGTCTCTGACTGTGATAGTTGCCTCACTTTGCTACATGGAAGAAAACCCACTCTTGCACACAAAGTTGAATTCAAGATTTGCTGGCAAGGTTAACCAAGGCATATGTAAGTAACAGTGTTTGTGGAACCCTGGGCCAAGGAGAGCAGTGGAGATCTAGTGTTCTTTTCTAGAGTGAGTGCTTTATTTTTTGTTAATATATAAGGATGTATAAAATGGTAACAATCTCATGCCATCTTTCTTGAGAACCAAGACATATTTTGTGGTTAATAATCTATTAGCTAGATATTCGTTATCTTATCCAGAAGAGCAAATAAATGTCAGATTCAGAGGAGGCAATAGGCTAGCTACTCGCTTTTTTCCTCTAAAGACCTCAATTTTCCTAGCCACCTTACTAAACCTAGCTATTTGTTTTGCAATTGACAAGGATATTGTGAGAGAAAGGATAGTATGGGAAGTTGGGTTCTGAACTTTGTGTTCCAATCCTGGGTTCATTCTTTCACCACTCACTCCTCCATTCATTTAATACCCATCCTGTGCATTCATTCACTCAAAGAATGTATTACAAATCCCCAGGGAGTACAGAGTCTAGTGAGGAGACTGCCTGGGAAACAGAGGGATGATAATGGCATCAGTCCAATGACAGAGGCAAGCCTGGGCAGCCTTGAGGGTGGGCCCTAACCCACTATCAATGGACAGAAAAGACTTCCTAGAAGTAGGTGTTACTATGCAGAGGAAGGTAAAGGATGGGTGGGCATTCCAAGTACAGAGAAAAGCAGGTGCAAAGGGGTGTCAAAGATTGTGGTGCATTGAGAGAGGGGATGCAAATAGTCTAACACGACCAGGGCCTAGAATTGGAAGCTTGTGTGTTAGGAGGAATTACAGACTAAGAGAAAAAACAATGACATTTCTGACATGTTAGGATGATGACCCAGGTTTAGGCCTCAGCCACAAGTTAGCTTGTTTATCCAGTTACCCTAAATTGATGTGTCTGATTGGTAAGTTACACATCCTAATATACTAATTGACATATACCATTAGGCTGTAAGAAGTCCAATGGTGATTAAATTGCAGAAGCTACATATTCAGTCCTAAGTCTGCTGTACCAAGAAGAGGGCTGGTACCTGTGGGTTCCCTCAGGTACCTGTGAACACTGCCTTCCCCTCTTCTGTACAGTTCTGTTCCCCAGAGAAACAGGAGCCTGCTTGATAACCCACCTTCCTTCACCCCAAAGAGAATCCATATCAACATGTACTGAGTGCCTAGCAAGTGCTATATACTTCACATTTTCAGTCCTCACTTATACAGGATAGACAAATAGCAAGTATAAAATAGAGTCATTTTTTTCCTTTGGAGTGAAACATTCACCTCCAAGGAAGAAGATTATTGATAGCCCAGGAATACAAAAGACCTGTTTTCTTATCCCTCCTTCACTGAAAGCATTTAGCAAAGATAATGACAATGAATTGGATGTGCAAGTGTTGTTATAGCCGAGGTTTAAAATGGCTCTGCTAAAAAAATATATAAAAAATAAAAAAAAAAATTATCATCCACTTTCTGGCATAATGAGTGGCTGTGGATGGACTGGTTGGAACATTTGTGTGGCAGTGTGTGAACTGTGAGACCCTGAGATCACAGACATGCATGAGCCAAATTGACCTTATAAGTAGGATGCTTCTTTTTTCCTTCACTTCTGTCATTTTCTCTAAATGGTGACAATGTGTACATATCCCATGAAGCTTCACTTTTTTTTCTGAATTGATCCCCAACAAAATAAGACTCTAAAAAATAAGTGGTGTCCTAGACACTGCAAGCCCCCTAAAATGACCTAGTTAAGTGAAGATGTAGCTGAGATGCCTGTGGCCAGATACTATGGAATTATTGGAGTGATTTATGCTCACATCTTGGGTTTCTATTCTTTTTTAAGGACTTCACTTACTCTGATAGGCCATCCAGGATGTTTGTTACTAGGCACACCCTCCAATTTTGAAGGGCTGGAGCGGAGATATGGTCATTACAAAAGCTACTTAGAGCAAAGAGTGGTGATTGCATGTGTGTTCAATGTGGGTGTCTTTTGAACACCGAAAGACTACCTGATGTCATGAAAAGGCACAGTGACTTGTTAAAGGAATGGCGCTCTCTTCCCCTGGGGTACTGCTAGCCTATATTAAACCTTTGTGAACATTAGGAAAAGGTACTCTTTTGTGGTGGTGGCATGGAGAAGGGAGCTAGGGAATGAGAAAAACAACTTCCTCAAATTGAAGATAACCCAAGCCACAGTGCACAGCTGGTTTTCAGTCCCCTGAGCCTCCTTGGTACTCTTTTCCAAATGGACCTAGTGGAGGAATTCCCAAGGGGCTGGGAAGACCAGCGTGGAGAAGCTGGGAGAGATGAATAGCACACCGGGCTAAACATGCTTGGCATTATTTTCCTGGTGCTGTCTTTCTGGTGGCTCTTTCTCACATGGTTAGGCTGTATGCAGGAGAACAAGTGGTGAGCCTGTTCATATCTAGACCAGCACCTGTGAAACCTTATTATTTTCACTATAAGTTGGATCAAGATAATATGAATGAATGGAAAAGGATCTGTGCCATTGCTGGGAGGAAAAATAGCTAAAAACACTCCAGCTCCTGCAGGTGGGTTACTAACATCATCTCCATATGGAAAGAATAATGCATTGGCTCACCTTCCAGCTTCTGAGGTCTCAACCTACTCTCCAGAGTTTGCCCCTCATTTTCTACCCTTTCCTTCCTGCCACTTCTCTTCCTCCAGACCTTTGGAAGATTCCCCAGGTCGGAATCTAAATGGTTTTCACTCACTTCTCATCATCTGCTACATCTGAGGCTCCACTGGGGTCTTGGCAAGCCTTCCTTCAAGTTGTCCATATTCATTCCTGAAGCCGAAAAGCCAGTTGTCCTGCCTGACACTGGAGAACAAAGAAACAGTCTTATGTCCTCTTTGTAGACATGGGAGGGAAGTGGAGCTGGAGTGATTTGGAACTCAGTGTGGGGATAGAGAAAACGATAAATGGGTCACAGGGAAGTGAGCTTCATGTCCTTTTAGGCCACTGTTTCTCCAACTTTCTCAGCTGGGATGCACAGTCTGAAATATATTGTACCTCACAATTCACTGCACATGTATACCCACACTCATATATGTGAATGAATCTAAAAATTGCACAGTATACACTGACATTTTTCTGTTTTTTCTTCTGTTTCTTTTCAAATGCTAATCTCACTAAGCTGACTTCAAGACTTATTAGTAGGTCTCAACCAATAGTCTGAGGATTAAAGCCTTAGACAGTAGTTCAGAGTGTGAACCCCTGATGACCTTTTCCATGGGATGCTTGTTAAAATAAGGGTTCCTAAGCCCAGCACAGACTTAACGCATCAGCATTTTCAGGGAGTGTGGGCCAAGAATCTACATTTTAGCAACCTTTTCAGTGGATTCTTTTGCAGAACAGAAATTGAGAATCACTCCCTTAGATTTTGCTAACTGGAGGTGATAACTGTTTCAGTGAAATCATAGGCAACACCTGGGTGGCAGGGTACAAAGGAAATGAGGTTGCATCTAAGGCCCTGGAGCTTCTGCATTTTATCTTTCAAATGAATTGTGGTTTGTAGTGCAGCTTACCACAGATTCTCTCTCTTTGCAGGTAAGGGGCCTGTGATCTCAGCTACTGTTCATTGATAACCTTTCTTTCCCTTCTGAAGCTTAAATATTCTTTGGTGTCCACTTAATCTGTTTCTGAAATGAGTTCTAGCCTCACTTCTTTGCGCACCTTAAGACAGAACGATTTTTTGTAGATGGCAAGTTTTCCACGTTCAGAGCATTTGGACTTTTATAAAATTCATATTGAGGCTGGGCACAGTGGCTCACACCTATAATCCCCATACTTTAAGGTCAATGCAAGAGGATCGCTTGAGCCCACAAGTTAGAGACCAGCCTGGGCAACGTAGCAAGACCCTATGTCTACAAAAAATTAGCCGGGCATGGTGGCTTGCACCTGTAGTCTAAACTACTCGAGACGCTGAGGCGAGAGAATCATTTGAGCCTGGAAGGTCGAGGCTTCATTGAGCTGTGATTGAGCCAGTGCACTCAAGCCTGGGTAACAGAGCAAGACTCCCTATCATATTGACATTTCCTTTTGCTTTGCCATTCATGCTTTTCAATAAAATTATA